AACCTTGGTCACGATTTGTTTGGGCGGCGTGCTCTCCGAAAGGTGGAAGCCAAGAGGCGAGTTGCGCTGGTCAAGAGGAAGCACCGCATCCAGGTGCTGAAGAAATCTGCTGGGACCAAGGTTGCTGGCTTGTGGCGTACAGGCCGCATGCCAAGTGGAGGCCACGGGGCCTCAGTGTCAGGTGTTAACAATGATACGCTCAGAACACTCAGGGCCTTAGCTGGGAGCCTTATGGGAGCGGGTGGCGCGTCTCACGTGACGGGGTTCTTGTTCACGCATAAGGATCCCAGCTTTGACCCCATCGTTGATGCCACGATCCCGCTAGTGTTCAGGCATTGTCGCTGGGTCTGGGATCGTAGAGCGTCTGATTCTGATTTGAGAGTAGCTTGTTCGTCTGCTCAGGCTCGTTTAAGAGATCGCCCCCACTGGGATCGTGTGCAGGGACCTGTCGGGGCGGTTATTTTATCGTTGAGGAGAGTTGGCTGGGATCTGATTTCTCACCATCAGCTCAGGACTGACCAGTGTGAAATAATCTCGCTTTTCACCACGTGCCCCTGGGATGTCAAGCAGAGGTTGCGTGAAGGCACTTGCCGTGCCCAAGTGCGACAGATTTTGGAAGCGACCCCCGAGGCTGGCGGTGATGAACTTGTCTGGGGGCGAGCGCTCCGATTAGGGATTCTTGCTGTGAAGGGCCCCATCTAGGCAGGCGGCCTTGAGAGGCCTAATCAGCGGTGAGCTTTGGCCGCCAGCCAAGAAGCACAAGTATGGCTACGCAGCCAGTCCTAAGTGCGAATTCGGGTGTGATGCGATTGGCTCTTTCGGCCATCAGTGGTACGAATGCAAAAAAGTCTGGGAGCCTGGCCAGGACCCAGAAGAGGCATCCATGTTCCCAGACGATGTGATTGAGCATGTGAAATGGCTGCGGGGCAAGGCTAAAGGAATCCCTCCCGACTTCGACACTCTTGAGTTGGCGTACGGTGTTCCTCTCTTTCCTCTGAGCATTGAGCCTGTCCCAGCCAGGTATCCTCCCCAGGTTTGGGGTGCCGCGAGCATGCCGTGGGGGTTTCATCTTTTCACGGATGGCTCGGGCCTGTCGAAAGGTCTACCCGAAGCGTGTCGCTGCGGGTGGGCTGTTGTCGAGCTTAGTCCTGGGGGCTGGCCCGTTCGGGCGTGTTTTGGGCCCCTCCCTGGGGCCATCCAAACGGTGCCCAGGGCCGAGAGGTATGCGACGTTGCAGGCGGTGCGCCTAGGCCCGAGAAGTGTGGAAATTATTAGTGATCACCTCTCGGCGGTGCATGAAGCCACTGCCTGGTCAGCCGATCTAGCCGAAGGCAGCCATAAGCATGCGTGCATCTGGCGCGAGATGTTTCAGGTGTGCCCAGCTGGAGCCCCGTTTGAAGATGGGCCTAGGGCTCGCTGGACTCCTGCCCACGGAGATCTCGACTCCCTCCTCTTTGGTGTGAGCGCTCCGAGCCTGGATCGATCCGTGGACACGGCTGTCTTCGATTATCTGGGCAACATGTGGGCTGACTTTTTTTGCCAAGTTGGGAGCGAAGCGGCACGCTGTAGCCAGCATCGCCACCGACATTCTCAAAGCTCAGCTGAAAGACGTGAAAAAGACGTGCCGTTGTCTGGGCCAGGCCGCTCAGTTTGTAGCGTCTCAGGCCGAACCCCCGTCCATGTCCTCTAGGCCAGGCCGTAACTCCATGGCCGTGCCTCAGCTCTCTCTGCTTGCTCACGACTTGGAGGTGGCGGAGGGGGGGGGTGAGGTGCACGTGGTGCCATTGCTCTGGCAAGACTGCGCTTTCTCGCGCGAAGCTGGAGCAGCCTGGTAGTAAGTGCGAGCCGACGCCGATCCACTTATATCTGTCGGCGGTCAGGGCAGAGCGTCACAATGGCCTCCTTCCCAGGGCGCGCAGTGACGCGGTCCTTTCAGCGTGTCGTGAACTAGGGTTCACGTATGACGGCCTGCATGTGCAGGCTCTTGAGACTTTCGAGTATCGGGGCCATTGGGTGCAGGCCACTGACAAATTTCTGCTGTGCCGCCGCTGCGGTGCTCGAGTATCCATAGAGGCCCCAATTTGGAGGGGCCTCGTGGCGGACTGCCGAGGCCCTGCGGAGAGGGCTTCAGTGCAGTCCTGGCGCATTGAAGCTGCTCTTGCGGGTCGCGAGGTCCGCTAGGGTTGTGGGCCATGGTGGTAGGCGGCGGCTGGTGCCTGTGGGCCGCTTGCCACCACGGCCCGTGCCCTAGTGGCCCTCGGCCTGTGCGGTGGGCTGCGGGACCGTGACGGCGGGAATCCCGCGCCCCCCCCTTTTCCTTGCCCGCCAGCCCTCATTCGAATCGGATGTTGCGCTTCGGCCTGATCCTGATCCCTCCTCCTCCCCCTCTCCTCCTCCCCTCCTCCTCCTCCCCTCCTCCTCCTCCCCCTCCTCCTCCTCCTCCTCCTCCTCCTCCTCCTCCTCCTCCTCCTCCTCCTCCCCCCCCTCCTCCTCCTTTTCCTCCTCCCCCTCCTCCTAGATCGGGTCGGAGCAGATGGGGTCGGAGGATCGCGCCGCATCGCCGATGCATCGCCGATGCGGCTCGATGCGGAGCCCGATTTGCTTCACGTCGACGTTGCCGATGCATCGCCCGCGCCAACGATGCACCGCCGGTGCATCGCCGATGCACCGCCGATGCATCGCCGATGTGTCGGCGATGCGGCGCGATCCTTTGACCCCATCTACTCCGAACCCATCTAGGAGGCCTCTAGTGTCCCCGAGGATCGGAGGCGACGATGGGGGAACAGCCCAGAGGGGGGAGCAGTACACGAGGCGCTCCGGGGAGGGCCTCTTCCTGCGAGGGTCGAGGGAGTCGTCGTCTCTTCGCTGGCGGATAGGTGGGGGGGGGTCGGCAGGGTGGCGGGAGCAAAACACATGCGCCCCCGAGAGGTGAAAACATGTTTGGGTCTGGGGGGGCCCGGGGATCCGCCGCACGCGTCCAGACTCCAGAGCCTCCGACGACGACGAGACTCCGGGGCGCATGCGTGCCACGCCCGCCCCCGAGAGATGAACTCATGTCTGGGTTCGGGGGGGCCCGGGATCCGCCGCACGCGCCCATGGACTCCAGAGCCTCCGCTCGCGCACGTCTCCGACGAGACTATCCGGGGCGCGTGCGCGTAGCGCCCGCCCCCACGGCCCCTCCGAAGCCCCGTCGTCCGCCGTCCGCCCTCCCGGCCCCGAGGGAGGGCCGGCGGAGGCGGCGGCGGCCCTCCCTGGCGCTTTCGTTTCCGTCGGGCCTGTCCCTCTCTACAGGGGGGAATAGTCAGAAATAGTCAAAACATAGTCTGGGGACGATGTTTTGATTTTTTTTTACCATTTGGGGGGCATTTTTTGATTTTTTCATTCTGTTTGCCTAGCGCTTCCGTTTCAGTCGGGCCTGTCCCTCTCTACAGGGGGAATAGTCAGAAATAGTCAAAACATAGTCTGGGGACGATGTTTTGATTTCTACTTTTACCATTCGGGGGGCATCTTTGGATTTTTTCATTCTGTTTGCCTGGCGCTTCCGTTTCAGTCGGGCCTGTCCCTCTCTACAGGGGGAATAGTCAGAAATAGTCAAAACATAGTCTCGGGACGATGTTTTGATTTTTTGTTTACCATTTGGGGGATATTTTTTTGATTTTTTCAGTCTGTTTGCCTGGCGCTTCCGTTTCAGTCGGGCCTGTCCCTTTCTACAGGGGGAAAAATCAGAAATAGGCAAAACACAGTCTGGAAACGATTTTCTGAGTTTTTTTTTTACCATTTAGGGGGCATTTTTTTGATTGTTCCATTATGTTTGCCTGGCGCTTCCGTTTCAGTCGGGCCTGTCCCTCTCTACAGGGGGAATAATCAGAAATAGTCAAAACATAGTCCGGGGACGATTGTTTGAGTTTTTTTTACCATTTGGGTGCATTTTTTTGATTTTTTCATTTTGTTTGCCTGGCGCTTCCGTTTCAGTCGGGCCTGTCTCTCTACAGGGGGAATAGTCAGACATAGTCAAAAAATATCCAGGGGACGATTATTTCATTTTTTTTTTTCATTTGGGGGCATTTTTGAGTATTTTGCATTTTTCTCTCAAAATACCCCTGTAGGAGGACACGCCCGACTGAGGATTCGGTCCACATCTCTCTCTCTTTCTCTCCTTCTGGCCGGCCTCGGTTCGGCAGGGGGCGAGTCGGGTCGTTGCCCCGTCATTTCATCCTGCTCCCAGTCTGGCGGAGCCGAGCGCAAACGCATGGCTTTATATCCGGGACGGCGCAGCTGCCACTGTCGGGTCGGGCGATACGGGGGGTTTGGGAAAGGGGGGGTTACGAAATTTGCTGCATGCAGCTGGTTTCGGCCTCACCGAGGGGCCCATTCCTCGATACATGGCCGCCTCCGGCGCCGGGAGGCGCCGGGAAAATCAGCTACGTGAGCTGATTCTCAACCCCCCCCTTTGCTATCCCCCCCTTTCGCCCGACCCGACACTGCAGCGGCACGAGCAATTTTTCACAAGCGGCAGTCCCGATGTTCAGAGGAAGAGAAGCGACACCCCCGCGTCACCACCACCACCGGGGGCGCCGCCTCCTGCGATGGAGTCCACGGTGCCTCCCGAGCTGGGGATCGGGGATGTCTCGAGCGAGAAGAGCAAGGGCTCCCACGAGGGCGCGAAGTCAGTCGCGCTTCGCGCTTCGCGGTCCTCGTTCCTGCTCCATCTCCTCCTCGTCCTCCTTTTCTCCCTGTGGGGGGGCGGCGCGAGAGCGCGAAGTTATTCGCGCTGCGCGCTTCGCGGAGCGCGAAGCGCGAAGTTGGGAGCCCTAGAAGAGGGGGACCGCGCCACCAGAAGGACCACCCTGACTCCTCGCGCTAGTGGTGGTGTCGTCGCTGTTCCTTACCCCTGGACTCTTAGATGTGCAAGCCGCGGCGGGGGGAAGCGGGGGGGGACGGCGGAGGAGACGGAGAGTGCCGCAGTCGAGGAGCCCCCCCGTGTGGCGCCACCCCCCGAGGTCATCCAGACCTGCCTGGAGACCCTGCGCAAGATCGGCGAGAACGCCTGCCAGCACTGGAATCCCACCACCAAGAAGCACCTCCGCACGATCCAGGGGGGCAGCAGCGCGCTCAAGAAGAAGATCTTCGACGTGCCGGGTGGGCTCCAGTGCTTCCTGGCTCTCGGCTTCACGCAGGCTGCCGCGGAGGGGGACGGCGAGCCGGCCTGGATCATCGCGCAGAACGTGCAGGCTATCGAAGACGCCTTCGGCGAATCACCGCCGCAGCCTGCCGTTTGGAAACGCCCACGCGGCCAGACGTTCGGCCGAAATCAGGCCGAACTATGCTGACGACATGTTCCCCCAGGCGCTGTGGAGCCTCTTTGGGGCACACTTGGGAGAGGAAGAGGAAGGAGGAGGAGAGGGAGAAGGATAAGAAGAAGGAAGCCTCTTGGGGCCCTCTTGGGGCCTCCTGAGGGCTTTCTAGGAGCCTCTTGGGGGCCTCTGAAGGGCCTCCTGAGGCCGTTGGGGCCTCCTGGGGCTTCTTGGGGGTCTCCTGGGGGCTTCTGGGGCCTCTGAGGGATCTCTTGGCCTTCCGAGGCAGTTTGGGGGGCTTCTCTGGGCAGTTGTGGGTGGGCGCTTCAGAGCCGCATTGAAGGTTGATAGGGCCTTCTTGGAAGCTTCTTGGACCGTCTTGGGACCCTCGTGGGCCGACTAGTCGGACTTGCGGGCCTCTTGGGGGCCTCTTGGGCTGCCTTGGGGGCGATCTTGGGGGGGCGTCCCGCAGCGTCAGAAGCCCGAGAAGGCGAGAACGTTTGAAGTCGCTGGACAACCTGAGGAAACGACTTCGGCCTCTTGGAGGGCGTCTTGGAGGCGTCTTTGGGTCCTCTTGGGCCGTCTGGCGGGCAGCTTGGGTTGTCTTGGGGCCATCCTGGCCGTCTTGGAGGCGTCTTGGAGGCCATCTTGGCCGTCTCGGGGTCCATCCTGGGGCTCTCCGGAGCGGAAAGGACCCTTGCCTTCGACCTTCGGGCGAGTTTCCCGGGTAGCCGGCGGGATCGGCCGAAGGCCAGTAGGAACCTGCTGGAAGGGCCTAAACACCTTGCAGTCAAGCAGTGGCGAAGCGTCCCGGCTTGCCTATAGCCCCACCAAACAATGTTCTAAGAACCTTTTGTGGTTCCCACGAGATGTTCTTAGAACATTTTTGGCTGGGACTGTCTTGTTTTGCAACATCGGGTTTATGTTCTAAGAACATTGTTTTTGTTCTTAGAACGTTTTTGGGTTCTAAGAACATTTCGTGGTATGACTATCGGAATGCCAGGACGGTCGGTCCCTGTTCAATGCAGTTCGGCACGCTTTGCATCCTTGCGGCAAGCAGAGGGCTGCGGCGGATCTGCTCGCCCGCGGCCCATCCCGCCACCTTGCCTCGGGGGGCCTCGTGGGCGGTCTCCAGGGAGGCCTCTCGGGGGTCTCTGGGGTCGTCCGGGGCGGCAAAAAGGTCCTGGGCACCTGGCTCAGCGTTTGCTCAGAGACCCACATCAGGGGAGCGCCGATGGTATGTTATCATCTTTGTTGGGTGTTCGATTATGAACTCCCTGTTGAGCGCAGCCATCCAGCTTTCGCGCCGGAGACTACAGGAAGCCGCCACAGACTGGCAGAAGACGTCATGAGACCGCCCGAAGACCGAAGACCGCCGAGAAGACCGTTCAGGAGCAATGGGTAACAAGAAGTCCATAGTCGAAAACATGTCTTTGGGCCCAGTGATCCTCCTCACGCGACGAATCCCAGGATCACCCAGGATTGTTTATATGTCGGGGGTCCGGTCCCTTTCCAATCCTACAATCCTTCTGCCGTCCACATCTGCATTGCTTCAGGGCCTCAGTCCACTCTACTAAGTCAAGTGCTCAAGGCACGATGGCGGATAGAGAAGTGCTGGGAGGGTTACGCAGTGCTGCGCGAGGAGTTGATGAGCGGCTCGAGCATTCCGGTGGACGAGGCGAAGAGCAAGGCCGCCAATGAGGGTGGTGGGATCGAGGGGACCATTCGCGACATGCTCACCAGCCCCGCGAAGCTCAATCAGTTGCTGCGCAACCCAATGGTCCGGCAGATGGTCAGTGCCAACCCCGACGTCGTGGAGAGGCCCCGAGAGCTGGCAACTGCGCGCTTGCACTGCTCCTGGCCAGGTTCTTCCTGGACCCAGAGGAGGAGGAGGAGGAGGAGGAGGAGGAGGAGGAGGAGGAGGAGGAGGAGGAGGAGGAGGAGGAGGAGGAGGAGGAGGAGGAGGAGGAGGGGGGGGAGGGGGAGGAGGAGGAGGAGGAGGAGGAGGAGGAGGAGGAGGAGGAGGAGGAGGAGGAGGAGGAGTCCGACGACGAGGACGCTGATGCTGCTGCCGATGATGCTGACCCCCCGCCAGTGGAGAGCGCGCGGCGGAGGGCTCCCACACCCGCCACCCGATGCCCACGCTCACGCGGCATCCCTGGCCAGCACCTCGACGAGGATGGTCTCCACCCACCAAACCACCCCAACCCAACCCGAAGGCCCCAATTTACCCTCGATTTCCAGTGGGGGGGGCGGGGGCGGGAAACATGGAAAAAACACGTGTGGAACCCTTTACCCCCCCCCCAACCCGAAATTCGGGTCTTCGGGTTGGGTTGGGGTGGTCTGGTAGGTAGTCAGGCCAGCACCTCGACGAGGATGGGAGCGAACCTCACAGCCCTCGCAAGACCCGTGGATGCGCGCGAACCGAGCTGCGAAGGACGGCAGAGCGACCGCGCGCCGACCTTGCAGAGGGGCGAGCGAGCCTGACCACCCGATGGCCAGCACGAGCTACGTTGAGGCCGGGAGCGCACATGCGGGCCGGGCCCGGATTTTGTGGCATGCTTTGGGCTTCGGCGGTGCTGTTCCCTCTCGCCGGGCCGCGCCAGGCTTGAGGCAGGGCGGTGCGCGATTTTGAGACGACCATGAGGTCTCTGTTCTTGTGTGGTCGGGCCGTGTGCCCCTCACTGTGTTATTGGTCTACAGGCCCTTGCGAGCGCGATTTTCCCTACTCTCGCTTCCCTCCTCCCAGTGCTCCGAAGTTTCGTGCTTCATAGTCGGGCGCTTTGTTTTCTGCCTCACAGTCGTGGGGCGCCCCGTTCTTCTCTTTCACACTCCTGATGCCTGTAGCCTCTGCTTCACAGTCGAGTGTCCGCGCCGTCTTTCTTACAGCATGTTGCGGAGAGCTGCCGCTTGCGCACCCTTCTGCCCGCGCGCCCTGCTGGACACTCGGCTTCTGCTGCTGCTGACCGTTCTGTCCGCAGCTTTTCCCCCCGCTGGGACTCCGCAGGTTGGGCTCCCCTCTCCACCCTCTCTCGGCCCGCTCCGCTCGCGACCGACTCCGGCGCCGCGAGCGGCACGGATGCATCGGCGGCGTCGCCCCTTGCTTCGCCGCGCCTCCCCCTGCGACCTGGGCGGCGGCGGGGCGGGGCGCCGCCCGCTGCCGCCGCCCGTCGCCTTGGTGCGCTCCCGCCCCGCCCACAGGCCGCTGCTCACCACCCACCAAACCACCCCAACCCAACCCGAAGGCTCAAATTTACCGTCGATTTCCAGTGGGGGGGGGGGGTCGGGGAACACCGACCCCCCCCCCCCCAACCCGAAATTCGGGTCTTCGGGTCTTCGGGTTGGGGTGGTCTGGTAGGTAGTCAGCTGCGCTTCTGCTCTCGCCCCTGCTCGGGGGCATCGGCAGCAAAAGGGCCCCGAGCCGAGCTGGCCCGGCCTGCCCCGCGCTCGGGCCTGCGCGCCTCTCCGGGGGGGGCCCGCCCCCTTCGGCTCTCTCTCTCGCGCCGGCCTGCGCGCATCGACCGGCGGGGCGTCCATGGCCGGGCGCGCGCAGACCCAGACCTCCGACGTATTCAACAGACGAAAATCAGAGCGTGACCACCGCCTACCCCGCTTTCGCTTCCAGGCAAAACCAAGCCATACCACGCGCCTCCTCGTCAAGCGGCCTGACCAGTACGGGCTGCAATTTGGCATCGTTTGGTATCTCTTGGAAGCGAGGGTGGTCAAAAGCGAGGTAGGTTTGTTTCCCCCCCTAGAAAACGGAGGTTTTCCTCGATGTTCGGCCTGCAGGGGCCCTCGCTGGGCCCCGGGGCCGTCAAAAAACGACTCGATCAGGATGAAGAACCGGTCCTGGGGAATGGATCGAGACTTCGGGGGACCGCGTGTTGAAAAAGTCACGACGTCGGATCTCTGGGGAGAGGGGGGCAGGGGGGAAGGCTTCTTGGAAGCACCTCTGCTTCTCAGAGGGCGCGGGCCTTGTCTGCAGATGCAGGGCCGGCGCCTTCTAAGGAGCAGCCTCCTTCCAAGAGGCCGTCCACCCTCCCCCCTGCCCCCCAATCTGCGCGCCGCCGAAGCAGGGCGTTCGCGGTCTGGCCGCCGTCGACAGGGCGCCCACGTCAGGGGCAACCACGGGAGGGAATAGGCATAGGGGGGATGCATCGACCTCACCTCACCCACTGATCGCCGATAGGGGCCGGATAGCCCCAACCTGCCCAGGAACGTGCGAATTTACTTCCAGGGGGCCTATCGCCGATCAATCGGCGATCTATCGCCGATTCCAGGTCGATGCTCCCCCCCTATGCCAGTCCCCCCCTAACGTTGCCCCTCACAGCAGGGCGTCCACGGGCTGACCGTCGTCGAACGCCACGAGCTTCACCGCCGACGTCTCCGCAAGTTCCGAGTCGGAGCTGAGATCCGCTTGGGCGTCGATCTTGGCGCCGACCCGGCCCACGGGCTCCACATCTGAGCCGACAGCTGCCTTGGCCAGCCCCGCCTGATTCGTGCCCACCTGGACGCCGATCTTGGCGCCGACCTGGCCCACGGGCTCCGCGTCTGAGCCGACATGGCACCCGGGCCAGCCCAACTTTCGTCGAGCCCATCTGGACGCTGATCTTTGGGGCGCCATCTGCTGAGGCCTCGGGAAATGCTTCGGGCAAGGCGTCGGAGGCCCCCAAACGGTGCGGTGACTGGACCGCCTGGTGAGTCACCGGGGATCCAGGCTGACCATACGGGTTTGAGACTTGCGTCGTTCTCCGAGGATGTCTCGGGCGACCGGGGCCTAGAGAATACCAACACGTGGCGGTAACGGACCGATGCGGTGCGGTGTTTGGGGGTTCCGAGGTCACCGCGCGGCGGCCGCGGGCCGCAGCGTGGACCCCGCGCGCCTGCGGTACCTCGCCCGCTGCGCCCCACACGCACATGCCAACCTCGAGCTCTCCGTCGTCGCCGGCCTCGGGCGCGCGCGGCACATGGGCGCCTTGTTCATGCTGGCCGACGCTGTGATGGCGTCCCGCCGCAGCTCTGGAGGTCGCGAGTGGCTTCGGAGAGCCTCTGTTCGAGCTCGTTTGAGCCGCTGCTGACGGCACCATGGTTCTCACCCTCTGGGGGCCGTTGATGTCGGACCACCGCGGCGCGGCGGCTGCCCCCCCCCGTCCACTTGGAGGTCAGGTCGGCCACTTTGCGGCGTGGTCCCATGAGCAGTGCCCTCGGCCCACGGGGGGAAGCCGCTGAGCACCGAGTCGCACGCCCAAGCCTGGATGCCATCGGCCATGCCGCAGCCTTCGCCTTTTCACGATCAGGTCCAGGGCGCCTGGCTCGACGAGCTCGTCGTCCGACGAGTTGCCCACGAAGAAGCGCGACGGCACCAGTGCTTGCGCCCAGCTCCCTTCTGCCCGCGCCCCCCCCCGCGACGCGAGGAAGTCGATGATGAGTTCTATCTCCGCCTCGCTGAAGCCCAAGACGTAGGGGCCATTTTTGCGCAACGCGTCGGAGAATCCTGCCCTCTTCCCGTGACCTTTCGTGGCGACTGCGCGCGCAAGCAGCAGCGCAGGCAGCGGTGCTTGCCGCTGCTGGGAACATTGGTGGCGCGTCGACGCTCCCGCGCGCGCCAGCTGTTTCATGGCTTTCGCGCGCGCCAGCTGTTTCGAGCCCGAATACGCGGAACCTCCAGAAGGAGCACGAAGTGACGATGATGATGATTGTGATGATGGTGATGATGATGATGTTGATGATGTTGATGATGATTTGTACTAGCCGGCCGCTCTGTGGTTGATCGGGAGTTTCTGTATATATAGAAGAAGGTGCGTGCGCCTGTTGGCGAGGGTGAGGATGAGGTCCTCCTCCTCCTCCTCCTCCTCCTCCTCCTCCTCCTCCTCCTCCTCCTCCTCCATCCTTCTCTTGCCTCCGTCTGTCCTCCTCCACCCCGCAGCTCCATCATCCTCCTCCTCCTCCTCCTCCTCCTCCTCCTCCTCCTCCTCCTCGGATCTCCCTCCTCGCTCTGGGCTCCTCTGGGCACCTCCCCCGGGGCCGGTTTTGTGAGGATGTCTCAAGCGAGGGCGCCGGTTTGGGATTCGTCACCGGATCCAGCGGATCCACCGGATCTGTCCGGAAACGGTGCCGGAGGCCGCTCTGGGCTCCTCTGGGCACCTCCCCCGGGGCCGGTTTTGTGAGGATGTCTCAAGCGAGGGCGCCGGTTTGGGATTCGTCGGCGGATCCACCGGATCCCGGATCTGTCCGGAAACGGTGCCGGAGGCCGCTCTGGGCTCCTCTGGGCACCTCCCCCGGGGCCGGTTTTGTGAGGATGTCTCAAGCGAGGGCGCCGGTTTGGGATTCGGTCCACCGGATCCACCGGATCTGTCCGGAAACGGTGCCGGAGGCCGCTCTGGGCTCCTCTGGGCACCTCCCCCGGGGCCGGTTTTGTGAGGATGTCTCAAGCGAGGGCGCCGGTTTGGGATTCGTCCACCGGATCCACCGGATCTGTCCGGAAACGGTGCCGGAGGCCGCTCTGGGCTCCTCTGGGCACCTCCCCCGGGGCCGGTTTTGTGAGGATGTCTCAAGCGAAGGCGCCGGTTTGGGATTCGTCGGATCCCGGATCCACCGGATCTGTCCGGAAACGGTGCCGGAGGCCGCTCTGGGCTCCTCTGGGCACCTCCCCCGGGGCCGGTTTTGTGAGGATGTCTCAAGCGAGGGCGCCGGTTTGGGATTCGTCGGCGGATCCACCGGATCTGTCGGATCGGAAACGGTGCCGGAGGCCGCTCTGGGCTCCTCTGGGCACCTCCCCCGGGGCCGGTTTTGTGAGGATGTCTCAAGCGAGGGCGCCGGTTTGGGATTCGTCGGCGGATCCACCGGATCCAGCGGATCTGTCCGGAAACGGTGCCGGAGGCCGCTCTGGGCTCCTCTGGGCACCTCCCCCGGGGCCGGTTTTGTGAGGATGTCTCAAGCGAGGGCGCCGGTTTGGGATTCGTCGGCGGATCCACTGGATCCAGCGGATCTGTCCGGAAACGGTGACGGAGGCTGATCTGGGCTCCCCGCGCCGGGGGTGAGGATGACGGTAGTTCCACAGAAACTCCCTCAAATCACAATTATTTTTTTTTTCGTGCGATTAATGATTGTATGATTATGATGTTGGCCATGGTGATGATCATAATGATGATGTTGGTGACGACGATGATGATGTTGATGACGGTGAGGATGGTGATGACCTGATGATGGTACTGGTGGTGCTGATGTTTCTGCTGTTCATCTGGTGTTTGATGATGAGCGCAGTGGCATGATATGGTATGATGGTGATGGTGTTGGTAACAGTGTTGGTGATAAGTCTGATGCTGACGACGAGGAGGTGATGGTGATGATGTGGGGGCGAACGTGGGGAGGATAAGCGGGAGGAATAGGAGGAGAAGGAGGAACGTAATCAATTGTTTTACCGCGCACACTCATGTGTGGTGCCATATAGTTGTTTAATTTGTTGGACAGCCCGTAGAACCTCAAAACCCACCCTTTCTTATTGTTTGTCTTGTCCTATTCCGCTTTCTCATGTCACACCCAGGACCCCATAATCCCCCAGCTCTGAACCCTCCTTCCTCCTCCTGCCTCCTTTGCTCCTCCTCTGCTCCTCCTCGGCCTCCTCGGTTCCTCCTCGGCCTCCTCCTGCTCCTGCTGCTGCTCCTCCTCCTCTTCATCCTGCTCCTCCTCCTGCCCCTCCTCCTCCTGCTCTTCGCCCCCCTCCTGGCCCAGCAGGGGCCTGGCCAGGGTCCGCGCAGGCGCTCGGCCGCCAGCTCCCCAAGGTTCGCTTCCGCGATGCCCGAGGTGAGGGAGACGCTGACCATCTACCCAGAGATGCGCAGGCCCTCCCTCCTCAGTATCGTTCAACCGGCCCCCACTATCCTCAGGCTCATCCCCCTCGAGAGACCCCCCACCATATTACCACCCCAGTTGGGGATAGACCCCTCGAAACCCGAAGGGAACGGCCCATATCCCGACCTGGGTGGGTAAGTCGGCCAGTGGGGCCCAGGCCACGCCGCTGGGGATGGGGATCGGTTAAACGATGCTCACAGACATGTCCGCACGGAGAAAAGGAATCCCGACGGGAAGTTTTTGACTGTCTTCGGCCTCCGGGGGCCCTCGCCAGGCCCAGAGACCTGGCAGAAACGATTCAGGAATGCAAGGCCGGCCTTGGGGCGCATCGTGCTTCAACGACGAGCGGGTTTTCCACAGCCACTGCCACGGGTAGGAGAGTGAAGAGGAGGAGGAGGACGAGGAGGAGGAGGAGGAGGAGGAGGAGGAGGAGGAGGAGGAGGCGACGAGGGGCGAGCGTGAGGGTCGTCGGACGGGGCTAGGACGAGGATAAAGCCGTCCATAGCGTTCCAGAACGCTCTGAGAGCGTTCCGAAGCGCTCTGAGAAGGCCGCGGCGCCCGATACATCTTCCAGATCCGCCAGATCTCAGAGGTTCTCGATTTATCCTTACCCGATGTTATCCTCGTCCTGGCTTCGTCTTGGTTCGGGACTTTCGGGAACCCCTCATTGAAAAAGTCAAGACGCCGCACGTTTGGGCTGCTACCATCCCCCCTCTTCCCCCATCTCCTGATCCTGGGCTGCTGCCGCTGCCGTTGCTGCTGCTCCTCACTGGGGGCACGGAAGGCGGAGGGACTAGGAGGAGGAGGAGGAGGAGGAGGAGGACGACGGAGCTGAGGAGGAGACGAGGGCGACGATGACGACCCCCAGGCAGCTGGAGTCTGTCCTGGGCCAGCCCCTGCGTCCCTCGTCCTCTCCGTCTCCTCGTCCTCGTCCTCCTCATCGTCATCCTCCTTACTTTCTGCCTTGGTGCCTCCAAGGAGATGAGTCCTCATCCTGCTCATCGTTGTCCTTCCTTCAGGCAGCTGGAATCCGTCCTGGGCCGGCCCCTGCACCCCTCGTCCTCCTCCATCTCCTCGTTTTGATCTCCCTCGTCCTCCTCATCCTCATCATTGTCCTCCTCTTCGCATACACTTCGCATTCTGTTCAATTACCCCAGTGCGTCCCTACCTAGAAGTTGGAACCCCTAGGAAAGCAGCATTAGTTGCTATGACATGTTATGCCATGCTATGCTGCGCTATGCTATGCTATGCTAATGCTATGCTATGATATGCTATGTTATGATATGCTATGCTATGCTGCGCTATGCTATGCTATGCTATGCTATGACATGCTATGTCATGCTCCGCTGTGCTGCTGTGCTATGCTATGCTAAGCTGCGCTATGCTATGCTATTCGATGATATGCTATGTTATGCTATGCTATGCTAAGCTGCGCTATGCTATGCTATGCTATGCTTGGCTATGGTATGCTATGCTATGCTGTGCTAATGCAGAGCTGCGCTATGCTAAAGCTAAGCTAAGCCAAGCTAACCCTCTAGGCAGAGCCTAGGTGGGGAATTACACCCATGCTAAGCTAAGGGGACGTAACTGGGGGAACCGCGGGGCGGATACTGGGGGAACCGCCCGGGGCGCTTTCCACTGCCCGGCCCCTTTGGGCCCAGAGAGTAAGAACCCTTCTAGGCAGAGCCTAGGTAGGGAAAAATCAATGTTTGGCTGGTCGCAGTGATACACGTTATGTTTAAGCTATTCCGCACGGTTTCGTACAACATCAGTTTGCTTAACATTGAGAGGTGTCTGGGGCGAGAGCTGTTCGGATTCGGACCGGGGCGAGGGTGCGCAGATGCTCTGCGTAGTCTGAGCACGCTTGTGGAATAGACGTTAGAATGGGGAGGGGAGGTGTGGGTGGCCACGCTCGACGTAGAACATGTTTTTGATATAATTCTCACTTCATCACTAAACGAATCGGTACCTGAGAACATTGTATTGATGCTCCAGCAGTCGGTGCCCTCCATCGAAAGGATACGTGGTGCTATGGCCCAGCGCCATCAGTCGTGTGTTTGTCGTGTAGAGGGGGTAGGTAACACAAGGAGAAACGCTCTCCTCTGTGCTGTTTCGATTTGGTATTGGATGGTGCTCTCCGCGAAACCAATGGTGTTTGCGAGGAGATCGAATACGGCACTACTGTAGGCCAGGAGTGGCGTGGGCAACGTGTGACTCACATCGTAGTTGCGGCCGACCAGACGTTGGTGGCCCGCCCTGTTTATTCCATGAAACGTATGCTTGTTGTTCTCGGGGTGCACTCAGCAGAATATGGCTGTCGCTTCACACATCCAAGTGTCAATTGCAGACCACCAGGGAAGATTTCCAGCGATGGAACATCGCGATTGGCTTCCTATTGAGATTTTGCCGCACGGAGCGTGTTTGGATTTTTGGGTGTTGAGCTGTCTCTACAGGACCCGACAGGTAGTGAAGTTGCACGCCGCGCCGCAGCATGATTGTTCAATTTCTGGGCTTTGAAGACGGCTTTGACAAAGAAACGTTTGTCGCTTGAGGCTTTTCAGCAGCTCTGCGGCGGGCACATCTGGACACCGAGTGCCGAGGAACGGAGAAGATTGAGAGCCAAGCAGAATGTCACGTTGAGGAGAATTGTGCGTTGCGGGGCAGGAGACTGCAAAGATTTGGTGAATCTGATACAGAGAGCAACTCGTCAAGCCAGACGGTTTGCTCGCGACGCTGGAGTGAAGGATTGGGTGCGGAAATTGATGTGGGCTGGCCACGTTGCGCGCGTGACAGGATCATAGTGGGCCAATATCATAAACGGGTGGCGGGATTCACCGTAGCAGACAGCCAGCCAGAAATGGCAACGGCCAGGGAGGCCGCCTAGGCGACCGTGGATGAGATTTGAGCATGTGTTTCGGAGGCCCTGCGCCCACGGAGGTCACGAATAATGGAAGCAAGAAGCTCAAGATTGTGATGCCCAGCGCGGGTTAGCTCCTGAAGGCGCCGCTCAGGCGGGCGCGCTGTGATCCAGAGGGCTTTCGATCAGGATGCACATGACTTTTCGCTCTGCCCCACGCGAATCATTTCAGACAGGTGTTCGTTGCATCACTGCTTCCCTGTTTCGCCCGTCTCTTCCTTGTCATCGTCCCCCGCCTTACGTTATGCCATGGGGCCTCCGAGGGAGAATCCTCCTCCTCTTCCTCCTCCTCCTCCGCCTCCGCCTCCCCCATTTCCTCCTGTTTTTCCTCCTCCGCCTCCGTTTTTTCTTCTTCTCCTCCCCCTCCCCCTTTTCCTCGGGGCGCGCGCGAGGCCAGCCTAGAATCCTAGAGTCCTCTTCATCGTTGTCCCCCCATGAGATCCGACGTTGCGAAACAATTGCATCATCGCGAGAAATCAGGGCCCGAGATCTATACCCCATCTTTGCGCGCCATTCAAGCCGCATTGATCTGCGCGGGTCACAGGCCCGAAGCAAGGCGAAAACGCCCGGTGTGAAAACATCGCATTGCAACGGCACGATGTCATCGTTACCCCCTCTCCCCTTTTCCAGGCAGGTCGCATAAGAAGGATGAGCAGCATGCAGAAGCTCCACCTTTGCACCCTAGCCCCGACGGCCCATCCTTGGCAACTTTCGCTGGCCAGCCCCGTTATGTTTTTTAAACAACAACAAAAATCTCCGATTTGGCCTCCCGAGGCCCCTGCATCCCCGCCGCGCACCCTTACCACGCGCCTGCACTGCGAAGGCAGCTGGAGTCCGTCATCGGCCGGCCCCTGCGCCTGGAGGAGCCGCAGCCGCTGGCCGGCGCCCCGCCCGCCGCGCCCGCGGGCGGCGGCGGCCCGGCGTTCGCCGCCGCGGCGGCGCCGGCGTCCGCGCGCACCGTGCAGGCCTGCGGCGGTCTGCGGTGGCGGCCGGCAGCGGCCTGCCGAAGCCAGAGATTTTTCGCCACGGAATGATGCACGCGGCGGTCGTCGAAAGCACCCAGGCATGATCGCGTCGTGCAAAAAATCAGGACGCGAGGTGTTTGCCAGTTTTCGGCCTCGGGGGGCCCTCGCCAGGCCCCGGGACCGTCCAGAAACGATGCAGGATGAAAAACCGGTCCTTGGGAAAGGGTCGCTCGGGGACTTCCAGGGACGCCGTCCTGAGAAAATCAGGACGTCGCATGTCTGGGCAGGTACTTCTCGCCGAGCGCGCTCCACGATTCGCAAAGTGCCTATACGCAAACGTCCAAAACAAAAGCATTCCTGATGTTCGATGCAGTGGAGCCGGCTTGCTTCGACGCGATGGATCCAATGTCTTGCGTTTGGCTCCTTGGCTAGTAGTGGACCAGGCTTGTCCAATTTCTGGATTCCCAGATCCCTGTCTATGTAACGCGCTTTGCTAATTTCTTCAAGAATCGATATGTTTCTGCAGTGCTTCGTTATTCTCTGGAGGGGCCTGAAGCCAATGTAACTCTTATCTGCCTCCTTACTACCTTATGATTTCTTACTTACTTCTTTCGACCGACGTGTAAGCCCAGCTGTGCTCGCGTCATGGCAGAGATCACGGCGCGAGGTTTTCTGACAGTTGTCAGCCCGGGGGGTGTCTCGCCGGGCCCTTGGACCGTCCCGAAAAAAGGGCCGGCACCAGGTAAAAAAGGTCCAGACTTCATGGGGGTCCGTGTTGAAGCTCAAGATTCAAGTGAAGAAAGGTGCACCCGTTGTACCCTAAAGGGCCCCTGGGGCCCAAAAGGGGCACGAGAGGTGCACCTTCCCCCCCCCTTCGATGTCTCGCTGCAACACTAAGCAACGCCCCGCTGAGATCTGAGCGTTGCAATCTTTTCACACTGGGCGTTGTTGCCCCGCTTCGGGCACTGGGGCCATCACATATCGATTTAGTTTTAGGTTCGGCGTGTCCCCCTACAGGCGGATTCGGGAGGAAAACGCAAAAATATCCAACACAGATTCAAAGAAAGTAAAAATAATCAAAAAATCGTGCCCAGTTGAGGACAGGCCCGACTTACATTTAGCTTTCCCAGACGGGGTCCGAGTCCGTCGAAGGATGGCGCCACATCGCCGATGCATCCGCGATGCGGCTCGATGTGGACTACGATTTTCTCCGCGTCGACGTCCCCGATGCATCACCGATGCATCGGCGATGCGGCGCAGTCCTCCGACCCCATCTGCTCGGACCCCAGTTGGTATGCAATTTTGTTTATTTAGGTTTCCGGTCGTTGTCTGTCGCGGTGCTGTTCTTCTTGCTCGCGGCGTCGCATCTCAGTCAGGAGGAAAAGAAACACACAGACACAATTAATCTTTGATTCCCCAGAAAATATGGGAGAAAATATGGGAAGTGGGGGGGAAGACAAAAACCCAGAAAATATATGAAAATATGGGGGATCTTTTTATTTGTGTGCATTTATTTGTGTGTCCTGGGGCCCCTTCAGAGGTGCCGATGCCGCTGCCCCCCACCCTGGTCGTCGCCACGGCCCGGTTCCCTCCGGAGTCCGTCAGGGTGCGCCCCAGGCGTGGAGCAGCGGCGTCGGGCGCCTCCTCGTCAGGCGCAGCGGCAGCGAGGGCGGCGGCGAGTGCCCTGGAGGAGCGACGATCGGGGCAGGTCGCGGGGGATCGTCGGGGCGGGCCGAGGAGGACCCAGGAGCGTCGACGGGGGATTTGAGGGCCGAGGAGCATCGAGAGGCTCGAGGGCCACAGTCGAAGAGGGCCGAGGAGGGTCGGGCGCGAAGATCGAGGAAGCATCGGGGAGCGTCGAGGAGCGGGGAGGAGCGAGGACGATCGAGGCCTCGGGAGGCTCGAGGCGCGGCCGGCCGCCTCCTCCTCCTCCTCCTCCTCCTCCTCCTCCTCCTCTTCCTCCTCCTCCTCCTCCTCCTCCTGCTCCTCCTCCTCCTCCTGCTCCTCCTCCTCCTCCTCCTCCTCCTCCTGCCGTTTCTGCCGTTTCTCGCTACGCAGCGTCTTGTCGTGCGCCCCGCGGGCGCGGAGCGCTCCGCAGCGGCCCATCAGGGCCGTGCGGGCACTCAGACGGCGGCCCCGGGAACCCGACCCCGAGGGGGGGGAGGACCAGGGACCATAAAAATCACGGAGGGGGAGGAAGGGGCCCGCCAGGGCCCTCGGCGTGCGCCGCGCGCGGCCGCCCACTCAGGCAGCGCGGCACGGCACGCGGCCAGGCCGTCGGCCTCTTCGTGGGCCGGCGGCCGCACGGCAGTTCGCGCACCAGAGGTGCTGCTGGCCTCCGTAGTGCGCGAACCCGCAGTACTCGACCCAGTCGTACAGGTCGAAGTTGCACTGCCTGACTCTGCGGCCCTCGGAGCTGTGCTGCTCGCCGCAGATGTGCAGGTCGCCTTGGTACAGCTTGGCGCTGTAGTTCACGATGTGACTCGGCTCGATCATGGTGGTCATCAGGATGATGCGGGTAGTGGTAGTGGGTAGTCGGTTGGTGGCCTTCGGCTGATAGTCAGTTGGTGAGCTGTGGTGTTCGACTCAATCATGGTGGTCATCGGCTTACAGCATGAAAGTATGGCGTCGATCCTGTGGTACTCGACCCAGTCGCATTCATTGATGAGGTGGTGCTTGACTCGATGGTCCTCATCAAGTGATGCTCGGCTCAGACGTGCTAGTCGTCGGTGGTGGCGGGAAATGCTGGCTGAGTGGTAAGTCGTTGGAAAGCTCCCCCGCCATTGTATATGCTTTTTGTGCGTGCTGGTCAGGGTCGTTGGGCGATCGGCTTGTTGCTGGAGTTGTGATGTGGGGCGTGGGCGCACATATGAGGCCTCCATGCACCGACTTCAAGTGGGGTTCGCGGCGGCCCCACCTCGTCCCGCTATGGCTAGGGGTCACGGTGCCCTCGGTGGGGGCGAACCCCAGGCCTGGTGCTTGCGTTCTGTCGGTGTGGGATGTCTCGGCTGTCCTGCGTTTCGCCCAGTGGGCGCTCGGGTAGCACCTCCTCCGCCATGGGGATGGTGGGGGTGGCGAGCAAGGGCGGACCGCGGGGGCGCAGGTAGTGGACGTCCTACCCCCCCCCCTGCCCCTCACCATCCCCCCTGGTGGGCGCGGGTAGTACTCGTCCTTCCCCCCCACCCTTCGAGCCCGTCTCGAAGTTTGATCCAAGCCTCACCAGGGCAGCGTTGACTTGTACAGGTGTGGTGGGGCATACCAGGGATGTGGTAGTGGTCGATGAGTGGCGCGGTATGTTCGTAGCAGTCGCCCACCGTCTGGCCAGCTGGTATCCGCTGAGTTGTATACGTACGATCCATGCCAAAGTACATGCAGCAAAACGTAGCGACTTGTGCCTGGGGTGTTCCCACGCATTCGGGGTTTCCCCAGGACTTGCGTCCTGACATCATGCAAAACTTGGCGACGTTTCCTGAGGTGTTCCCACGCATCCGGGGCTTCCTCAGGACTTGAGTCCTGACGCCAAAGTGCTCGTCGTCGCAAGCGCTCTTGGCCACGGCCTGCGCTGTAGTACCCGCCGTGGTCGTGCTCAGTACCGTCAAGCTGGTCGACACATTGCTGCTTGTTCCTCAGCGCCTGTAGTACTCGACTCCCACTTGCTGGCAGAGGTAGTACGGCGTATGCTGCATGCTGATATAGTGCCCAAGCCCGTGTTACTCGAGTCAAAATTGCTGCCCACCTGCTGAGAAACAACATACTACGTCCAATGATAAGCTGGGTGCTTTATTACCTTTACCCAGGTAAGTTTGTACGCATCAAAACATAGGAGCCAAGAGTGATAAAACCAGCAAGAATACTCGAGGGGAGGCACGCTCCGTCGCCTTTGAGGGATCGTGCCCACCCGTATGGGCGCTACGGGTCCCCCGCTCGAGAATGGCACGCCATCGTAGTCGATCGGTCCGTGTGTCATCGTGCTCTCGGTCGATGTGTACAGCAACATAGTAAAACCGCTCCGTCTTCTGGTCATATTTCAAATCCACTGCAGATAGTTCCATTCGCAAATCAATTTTAGTCCACTGTATCCATACGTAATCCATCCCGCAATCCATCTGTACAGCAAAATAGTAGTATACTACAAACATAAGTCCACTCGCATCCAGTTGTGCCGTTCGCCGTGGTACAGCCTGTGCCCACGGGCCCGGGCCTGTCGTGGTCCACCACGCCGTTCTGGTCGAAGTAGTACAGCGCAACACTGTAGATGCTGCTAGCGGCGATGACTGCCCCATTCCCTGTGACAGCCGTGCCCCAGCTGTTCTGGCTCGATATGGTGGTCCAGTGGCGCGTAGAAGCTGTGGGAGTATTCGTCTGTCTCGGCCCACAGTGCTTCCTCATCGGCGAGCTGTCCCCAGTGGGCTGCGAAGGCTGCTTGCACAACATCGAAGGGTATTCTGTGAGAGGAGCAGTCCTCCAGCCGCCATGCCCGTCGCGTCCATAGGCTCGGTCGTGTCTGCGGTGTCGGCACAGCTGGCCGCCTGGCACTGCTCCAAGCTCTTGCGTGAGTTCACTGAGGTGTGCCGCGAGCAGTCATTTTGGCTTTCGCGCGGCCTGCCCAAACTGGCACTGGTCGATGTAGTGCAGCTCGACGTTGGTTTGTTCCAACAGCCACCGAGTCTCCGCTCGGTGCCAGCTACTCGGCGCTTGGGGGCACCAGGTAGCTGGGGCGGGATGCTCGAGTATCGCGGAGACATAGCACTGCAGACCCGTGGTGATGAGCAGTAAGGCTGTCTTGTAGAGCTCGCTGGCCAGCGCTAGTTGCTGGAGTTCAGTTTGGTTGGCTGCTTGTATGCCCCAGGGGAAGTCATGGTTGCGTAGTGGTCGTGGGGCTTTGCCCTCGGCGGGGCCGCCACCGCGATGAGCACCGCGTCTCGCGCGGGGGGCCTGCTACAATGCCAAAGATTTTGCCCTGACATATCGCCGCGCACCACAGGGCGATCGCGTCTGGC